TTGAACATAAGCAAGAGAATCTTCATGAAGCCCAACACTGTAGACTTCAAAGGAACATTTCAATCACAAATGGATGTTTCAATAACATCTCATGGTCCCAACATTGTGTTAGGGAAGATTGCTGTAGACCTCCTGCGCAGCACGGAGATCGCGTGAGAGGAGAAAAAAGCCTACAAGAGTGGGATGGAACAGTAGGAGAGTGGGATGGTTTTTTTCAATATCTGAAATATTGTTCAGGATGACACAACCAAACATTGTTATGGCATCAATGTTGTGTTAAGTTGAATCAAAAGGAGCAGTTTGCTCTTGGGATGCTTGATGGGAGGGATCATCAACAGCAGGAGCAGTTTGCTCCTGGGATACTTGATGCGGGTGATCATCAGCAGCAGGAGCAGTTTGCTTCTGGGAGACTTGATGGGGAACTCCACCAGCCAAACTGATTTAGTATCGACTAGGAGAACCGTTGTTACAGCGATGTTAAATTTTAACATCCTCTCAACATCATTTAACATCCAATTACCTTCAAAAGTAAATGACAATTGATGTTAAATGATGTTAAATGGATTTTAAAATTTAACATCAATTGGAATAAAAGTGTGTTGATAGTTTTTGGTTTGTGGGTTCAATTGTGTAGGAGATGTGAGTTATAGTATCTCCATGGCTCCCAAAATGGAATTGCCTTGTGTGAATGAAACACTTGGTTCCTGAACATTTTTTATACCCACAGCTTGTTTGTGCTCAAGATCAGTTCTGATCTGTTTGACCTTTGTGATAAGTGTTTTTTTGTGGAGCAATGTCTCCCAAAAAGAATGTGGTTAAAGATGATGCGACCAAGACGGTCATGCGGAGGCGCTCTGCCAAGGGCAGGGCTGATGAAGCTGAGGTGGATGATGCTCAAACAAGAAAGATGCAATCCAACATGAGGACTCAGCTGAACAATGCTCAAAAACGACTTGATGCTCATCAAAGTGGCGAGTACGTCCTCCCGCAAACATACATACATTACATACATACATACATACATTACGTACATACATTACATACATACATTACACACATACATGCATACAAACATACATACATTACATACATACATACATTACATACATTACATACGTACTTTACACACATACAGTCATACATACACACATACATACATACATACATAACATACATACATACATACATACATACATACATACATACATACATACATACATACATACATTACATACATTACATACATACACGCATACAAAAAACCATACATTACATACATATATACATTACATACAAAACATACGTACTTTACATACATACAGTGATACATACATACATGCATACATACATAACATACATACATACATACATACATACATACATACATACATACATACATACATACATACATACATACATACATACATACATACATACAATACAATACAATACAATACAATACAATACATACACACATACATTACATACATACATACGTACATTCATACATACATACACACCATACATAACATACATACATACCTACATACACACTTACATACATACATACATACATTACATACATGACATACATACATACATACATTACACTACACTACACTACACTACACTACACTACACTACACTACACTACACTACACTACACTACATACACACGTACGCACATACATTCCATACATTACATACATACATACATACATACATACATACATACATACATACATACACACATACACACATACATTACATACATACATACATGCATACATTACATACATACGTACATGCATACCTACATACCTACATACATACATACATTACATTACACACATACATACATACATACATACATACATTGATACATACATACATACATTCATACATACATACTTTACATACATACATACATACATTGCATTACATTACATACGAACATGCAAACATACACTACATTACATTACATTACATTACATGACAATACAATACACTACACTACACACTACACTACTCTACATTGCAATACATTGCGTTACATTACATTGCATTACATTAGATTACATTACATACATACATTCAAACACCAGCATGAGAATTTCGAATTGCGCCCACCATCACAAAACACGCACATAAACATATACATATGCATATACATACAGACGTAGGAACACAGAAAGGCAGGCGATCAAAAAAGCGGGCGCACGGACAGGCACATAGGCAGGAGAGAAAAAAAAGGCAAGCAGTCACACAGGAAGGCAAGCTAACAAACGGGCAGGCAGGCAGGCAGGCAGGCAGGCAGCTAGGACCTAGGAAGACAAAAGGCCAGCCGGCAAAATAGGGGAGGGTCGTGCCCGGAAGCACCGACAAAAATCAGCAAACCGGGCCACAAAAAGCGGCATCACAGACACAGGAATCCCTCATCCCCGCATCTCCGCATCATCCAAACCGGCGCAACCGTGCAAAACCCAGAAACAGAAAACAGCCCGAAGTAAGCGGTACCTGGGAGCACCGTTCGGGTTGGACAAAAACACAGAAAAACACCTCCGGGAGCCCTCAAAACAAAAACGCTTAAAACATTGACTGCGGCAATTCACTTTACGGGGGTTATCCCCGGGGGGTCGGGAGTTATAGCCACCGGGGGCTATGTAAAAACCAAATGCATCACCAGCGCACCAACATCACAATCACCCCCCATCAACCCCTGCCAGAACAGAGGAGAACAGAAGAGACGGTTTCAAGGCCTCGGGTCAATCCCCTTGGATCGCGCGCTCAGGGCATGAAACTGTCTCTTCTGTCCCCCCCTCTTCTAGCAAATCAAAGTCAACCTCGCAACTGTGCCAGTTTCCGCTTGAAGCAGCTCCAGAGGTGGCAGGCCGGCAGACAGACGCGCAAGAAAGAAAGCACGCGGACAAGGCAGGAAGCAAGCGAGCAAACAAGGAAACAGGCAGGGCAGGCAGGCAGGACAGCACGCAGGCAGGCAACAGGCAAGCAGATGAGCAGAACAAGAAACAAACCAACAGGAAAGCCCAAGAAACAAGAAACACTGCCAACAGCAGCCCGAGTATCCACAGACCCCGCAGTCTACCTAGTACTACCAAAGCCAGCCCGAGTATCCACAGACCCTGCCTCGCAAACCAACATACCCCAAAACAAACGTAGCGGTACCAAAGGCAGCCCCAGCATCCGCAGACCCCGGAATCTACCTCACAAACCAGCATGCAGGCAAGTCACAAAAAAGAAAAGAATCACACCCAAAAGCAGCCGAGTCTCCGCAGACCCCCAGCCCGAGCATCCGCAGACCCCTGGGGTCTACCTTAGAGACCAGCATACAGCCAAGTCCCCAAACAAAAAAAAGAACCCCGAATATCCGCAGACCTAGAGGCCGACATACCGGAAAGTCCAAAAAATGCAAAGGAGCTGCCCACAACGGAAATAAGAGCCTATCAAAGCCAGCAAACCATCCAAGAGTGACCGCGCGGGGGCGGCGGCACCGGGCGGCAGCCCAAATCCGGCTACGCCTCCTAGGGTAGCACGTCGCCACTAGGCAATTAGCCTGCTAGCTTTAGCTATAGGGGCTGCACCCTAGTGCCGCCGACCCTCGTCACTTGGTCGTGATGCGTGGCCTAAATCCGGCACCTCTGCATCACCAGCTCGGGCTTGCGGTTTTGCTTGCCTGTGGGAAACCCTCGCAAAACATCGCGTATATGCAGGGTTTCGGCCATGTGGCTGACATCATCAGGGTCTGGGATTGGGCCTGGGTGATGCTTCAGCGGGGCTTAGTCTGCATCATCAAGACTTCCTTCCAAAAAGCCTTCTCAACCCAAAAAGCACTTCTTTTTTTTAGAAGGTGTCGGAGGGATATAAACGAGGCTCATTTTCGCGCATGTTGGCGCCAAGCGCTGCCGGGCATGCCGGCGATGCTGGGTCCTCGCCCTACAAAAACGCTGTAAATACCGTCAAAAACTGCTGTGCTGAGCGGTGGGCTGTTGTTCTGTCCGTTTTGCTTTTGCTGCGGCTGGCTCGCGTGCTGCGCGGTCCTTGCTTTTTTCGCGTTGGTTTTCGGGCCTTCTGGCCCGCGCGCGCGCATGCGCGACCCCAGCCACAAAACGCTGCTATTTACGGTGCTTTGTTGCTTTTGCGTTTCCGGGCTGGCTTGCGGGCTGTTCTTTTTGGGCTGCTGTTTCTGCGGCCTCTGGGGCGCGCACGCGCGCGCGCAACCCCATGTCAGCCTTCTGGTTTGGGTCCCGGCTACGGCCCAGAAAGTTGGCATCCCCGGCATCATCTGGGGTTGGGGTGGGTAACATGCATAACCTGACCAGCCATATCATAGCACAGGATACGTTTCTCATACAAAAAACATGACATGACATGGTATAACTTCAAAGAGGCGTAGCCGGCTACAAGCCGCAGGCCCAGAAATTATTCATTATTTCGAATCTATATTTTAAATATATTTTTGAAGTGGTTTAAACACCATGATGTATATAATAGTAACCTGCAAAGCAGTTTGTGTCTTTCTTCGGTCTTTTCGGGAAAAAATGTTGTTTTCATGAAATAGCATTTTTCAAATTTTGACATTTTTGGAGTTTCGTGGGTAGAGTGCATCTTGGAGAGCCAAACAACGGCGGAAAAAAAACCCGGAACAGAGGCGGAAACAAGCGGAAAGGGCGGAAAAATCCGGAAACCTTAGATGAGCAAGGCTACCTTTCCCCAAAAAGAAATTTCTTTCCAAACAACGATCTTTTTCCAAACAACGACCAAAATTTGGCGCTTTTTGCTCGAAGGCGTTTTCTTCGCACACACGGGCTCCGCAGGAATATATCTATGAACAAACAGGTAGTAGCAGCCACAAACTAATACACATGCTCAAATATTGATTTCCATTCTTGTCAACGACATCATCCGTATCTTTGGGATGTGATTTTCCGGTGTCTTACCTGGAAAATATAACAGACAACTGTTCATTTTGTCTGGCATCTTGTTTAAGATGCCTCTAAAAGATTGATCTGCACAGGAATCTGCGACGAAGCATTCACTTGCTGGGACTCCTCGAAATCCTCAGCTTTACTGAGGAGTTCCACAGTGCGACTCCTCAACGCAAGAGTCCTGTTCTTGATGCTCAGCAAATGCGCATCCGAGTCCTCTGAAAAGAGCCCCTGCAGGTCGTCGATACTTCCTGCAAGAATTTCATCTTTGATTGCCTTGACCCTGATCCTTCTCAACGCTGCTCCAGTGGGCACTTGATATCCAGATATGCCTGATGTGCCTGTGAAGTCGTACGTCCAGCCAGTTTGCGACAAGTCTGGGAGCTTGCCGTACACGGATTTCAGAAGCAGCGGCTTGGAGAAAGTTGAGGTAAAACTCTCCAGCGTGGACTTCGAAGCCACAGGCAGAAGCGGGAGGTGCGCTTTGCGAGACCGCGCGAGCTCCGCAAGGCGTGGCGAAACTTTCGCATTTCTTGTCGCTTTGGCTTCAGTCTGTGTGCAGTTCAGAGATTCTGGCTCTTCTTCGATCGGGTGACTTTGCAACTCCCATGCATCCAGGAAGGCGAGGTCATTCATAGAAACCTTTCCCTGTCCCTCACAATCAAGCGTTAGATAAACAGCTCTGCAGTCTCCCTGAAATCCGTAGAACCGCAGCATCTTGATGAACTCCCTCAAGGTGAAGTCACCCGAGTTGTCCTCGTCCAGAACCGTGAAAGCAGCTCGCACGCCTCCAAATTCTTGATCAGCCCAGCTCTTGAACTCTGCCAGGAACTCAAACGAGCTGCTGTCAAGCTCGCCTCGTAAGCGCATTTGCTTATCTCTGTGCATTTTTCAGTCGCACTCAACTTCGCGGTCTGCTGCGCTCCAATTCGGGTTGCATAAACAGCATGCTATGTCCATGACACCAGGTCCCAAGCGAAATGAGATGCTGCCACTGATGTCCTGCCATTCATGCAGATTCAAGCATCCCGATGCATCCCGCATCCCGCATGCATCCCGGTCTGGAACCTGGGAGCCCGGGAACGTCTCCTGGTCGAAAAAGCGCCAGGCTCCGGGGACGTCTCCCTTGAAAGAGAGGCGCTTGGCCGCCGCCTCGAACTCGTCCCAGCACACCTGCGATCGAACACCTCGAGAGGCTTCCTAGCTGGGCTTCTGGAACTTCCGGGCCTCGTTGCTTCCATCGCGGTCCAGATGTCGCCAGGCTTTCAAATAACTTGGATACATTTGCCTTAGCCAGAAGCTACCAAATCTCTCTTTCATGGCACTCGATTAGGCAATCAATCATGCGGACAAGACTCAGCAAGGTGCTCTTGAACTCCCTGGCAGCCTGGGGGCTTGGAGAGCAAACCAAGTACCTCACTCAGGGAGATCCAGCAGCTAGCATCGCTACTAGGATCGCAGCGCCTGAGGGTGCGGCTGTGGGCATTTCCAGGAGTCCAAGAAGGTGAGGTCCCCCGCGGCCAGGTACTTCTTGCCTTCCCAGTCCAGCCCGTGGTAGAGGAACTTGTCCACCCGCGAGAAGCCCAGGCGCCGACCTCACTCGCTCGCGCCCGTCTGCGGTCTGGGCTCCTGTGTCCCGTGAGGCCAAGGTAGGCCAAGGTAGGCCAAGGGGCAGTGCTCGAAGAAAGCCGCAGGATGCACTTTGTTGATCTTGTGCACGTCCATTGCCCTGAACAGCGCTTCTGCGCTGCCGCACTTCTCCATGATCTGCTGCTTGAACTTGGCCAACCTAAGCATTGTGCACACGCGCACATGCTGCACTCGCGCACATGCGCACGCGCATTGCCTCGCATTGCGCACTGCCTCGCATGCGTTCCCAGGAGCTGCTCCGCACTCCGCAAATCCACCTCCTGCAGAAAGGTTATGCCACTGGCATCCTGCGATCGCGGGTCGAGAACACGGCAAACAAGGCGAACACGAAGGGGAGGCCAACATCGGCCAACATAGGCCAACAAGACAAGGCCTTGTCAAGGCCTTTCCACAAGAGGCGCGCGTCGCCCTGCCAGCTGAGCTCTTTCACCTTTGGTTGCTACGCTTGGCTTAAGCGAGGGAGGGCCCGGATAACCTCCATCCAAGGTGCAGCCCTGAAGAGCTCGTTTTTCTGCAGGTACATTGATCCATCTGCATCTAGATTGCGCCAGGCTCGAAGGATTGTTCCCTTGGATCAATGCAAAACGTTCATCAGGTGCAATGCTCCACGAAAGAGCGCAACTCTCAGAATGGAAGGAGGTGAACCTCTACCTTGGCATACATCAGCTACATTGCTATGCCTGGACTTTTTCATGACAAGAGACATACTTCTTCTTCAAGAATGCCTGGTGCAAACCGCAAGAGGTTGCAAGTGGGCAGTTCGTGAGTTGAGCGCTCGGTCGAGGCCCTGCCTTAAATTCCTTCCGCGCCTTTGCGACCAGGTGCCGCTTGCGGGCTAAGCGCTCTCTGAGCTTCACAGCGTCCTGCATTCCCTGCGGCGAATCCCGGGCGTCCGTCTCTTGCGCGCGCCTGACACGCGCCTTGCGAGCCCGCACGTACTTCCGTTTGTCAATCGCAAAGAAGCGGAAATCTTTCACCTCCAGCTCCTGCACGTCTGGACAACATACTTGCTTCTTGAAAGCAAGGAATGCTGATGCTTCCCCTGCAAGCGCAATCTTAAAAGCGCAATCTAACAGGACGGTATCTTTTGACTCTGGCAAGCTCCCTATTAGATGGTTCCCGTCCTTGCTCTTGCCTACCCACTGAAGTCTCTATACCCACACTGTATTGCAAGCCTCTTGTTGCTGCTTACGCGGCCGGCGTGCAGCGAGCATCGAATGACTGCCGAGTCGACAGTTTCCCTACATGTACTTTGTTATCCACCCGTGCAGTGCACTATTCCACTTGGGAGGGAACGCGCGCAAAGGCCAACAAAGGGGTACCAGGCGAGAGCATGCAGCCTAGCCCCGCCTCATTCCTGTCCCGGTTCAGCGCCCAGAAGAGGGTCTGCTCATGGCCGTACCAGCCCAGGCGATTGAGATTGGAGGTGAACGCCTCCAGGTCGCAGAACATGTCGCCTTAACACAGCGTCGATCCAGAAAGCGGCAAGTCGGCACAAAAGAGAGCGAACTGTGAAGTCAGCACCTCACAAGTTCAATACGAAATGTGCACGGGCTCAAGACAAGAGTTCACAAACAGTACAGCAATGTGAGCATGTCATGTCACAAAGGCCGGACAGGCGACGGCAATTCATGCCTAGACTCCTGAAAGCTCGGCCAGCATCTTCTTCTCATCGCTGAACATCTTCACGCACCACATGCGGAAGCCCATCCATATCCTGTCACATATGCGCACAAGCCAAGAGGAGAAACACCGAAAAGGGTCCTGGAAGCTTCCGGGTCGATTTGATCTAGGGTGACCTGAGGACATACCAGGCGACACGAGATGAAATCTGCGGGACAGGCGGAGGCCAGCCTCCTCGATCTGGTCGATGTCCAGACGCGTGAACAAGAGTTCGGCCTTGCCTGGCTCGCCAAGCTGAATCAGCTCTCAGGTGTCACTGTGCCCTCAACTTGGGACCGAGCTTTGGATGCTTGAAGGGAAAGCAAACAAGAAACAAATAACCAAAAAACTTTCAAAGCGAAGCCAACAGGACACCGCCCCCTTTCAGACTCCCAATGTGGTCCTGTACACCTCCGAGCCGCACCTGGATAGTTCAGCGCGACCAGGCCCGCGCAGAACTGCTCGCGGCCGATTTGCCGCTCCTGATGCAATTTTGACGGGTTGTCAGGTCAGCAGAGTGTACCCCGGCTAACCCCTAACCTAACCTCCGCCCCGGGGGGGGGGGTTCGGGTTCGGGTTCGGGTTCGCTCCGGGTTCTTGGTGGGGGGGGGGGGGGAAATACAGAACAGATGTTGAATGAAGTAAAATAAATTTCATAACAACTTACCAAAATATAAAATATAGGTTTGTAATTCAAATATTAAATAAGGTTAATACATTACTAATATTCATTAACCTTATCTAATTCCTTGAAAATAAGTTTACTTCATTGAAATATTATATAAGGTTAAGAAGTTATTCTACATATTAACCTTATACAATTTTATGCAAAATCTGTATTAATAAAAATAATGTTAATTTTCTTCTGCCTGTTTCATTTCTAAATTTCTTTTATGCTTATTTGTTTTAAGATGTTGCTTTGTTCTTTTCTTTTTATACTTGCTTTTTCCCTTACTTCTCTACACCTTTTACAATTTTTATAAATCCGTCCAGTGCTTTAATTCCAAAATCATTAACTTTTTTCCAGTAAAGGCATATATTACACTGATAATCGTATTTTTGTTCCACCAGTTCCTTTTCAGGTATTATAGCATTTCTTCTGTAGTTATAATCCATCCAGTCCATAACTAATATTTAATGTCAATATTTCTTTTTACTAGTTTTACTAGTAAAACTTCCTTGAAAATATAACCAATATTCCTTGAAACTAAATCTAGAAATCCAAATCATAAATCTTACAATAAAATTAAATTGTAAGGTTTATGGTGTGATTTATAATTTCAGTTCAGGATAATAATTTAATTGATACATCTTACCTCTTTCATGCATCACTTTAAAAATAATATTAATATCTCTCACTGTATTTTTGACATTAAACTTTTTTCTGTCAATATATGCTTTAATGTCTTCTTTTACATCAAACCCTTCCCTAAAATGACAAGTCAACATCCATAAAACACCTTCAATCATTTCATATTTTTCTTACTGATTTTCAGAAATGCTCTAACATAACTATAAGGTGGTCTTTCATGCACAGTAAAAAATATCAAAAATGTCATCTTCAACATTTCTTTCATTAAACCTTTTAATACTTAAAGTACATTTGATTAATTCTTGATAAAACCTCCAATTTCTACAAATTTTACATAAATCTTCTTCACCCAAAGCATAATCAATAATATTATTTATTATTCCATTAGGTAAATTTAATTTATACAAGTCCATATTTTCTTTTTTGAAGTGGCAACAGTCATAGCATTTCTTATTGATTTCAAGACCGCTCATTTTCTCACTAAAATATTAAGTCACTATTTCCTTAAGTCATTTTCAAAGAATGAATTTACACTTAAATTATTAACAAAATATTACAAATCATAAATCTTACAATTTATTTTTATTGTAAGGTTTATGGGTTAAAATAATAGTCAGGCAATATGTCTTCAAATATGTAATCTACACATTTACCTATATCATCTTCATCTATATATTTGATATTGTCTTTTCCTATTATTGAATAAATATATTCCCAGAAAAACAAATTAACTGATAGACATACTTTATATTTAGTGTTGTAGTAATACCATATACTATATTCAGTTACTCTAAATTCGTTCAAGACTTCATTTATTTTATCTTTGTCTAATAAATGCCAGTCAATCCATTCAAACAAATAACGGTATTTTTTGACAAATGCTTTATATGGTTTAATTGCGTTTATTCCTCCAAACCTCCTAATCAAATCTATATTACTAAAGAATTCATCAATTTCATTTTCAAATGACTTTCTGGAAATCTTCTGGTAAAAGTGTGTAGGAAATCTTGCTTGGTGTCGCATAAAGAATTTTAATTGTAATTGAAACTTTGTAGATCCCTTATCCTTATGTTCTTCAAGAAAAAACGTTTCAACGTCTCTTGTTATACAGCATTGATTGCAATATACATTATATTCACTTATTTTATTACATAGATTGGCGGGTAATAACTTATACAATGTTATATTAACATCATTCTTTGTTTTTTTACAGAATTCGCACTTGTTATAGTTAAACAACATTTCACTATAATATATTGAGTCATTATTTCCTTAAGTCATTTTTAACGAAGTACATGAGATATTTTTTGTTTTTGTATTTCTATAAGTCTTTCATATCCTCTGACCACTCCGTCAAAACTAAACACAGAATTTACGGAACTTTCTTTCACCTGCTAATTCACAAGTTTTTATTAATTCATTAAAATCTTTTTCGACTGCGTCTCATCGTGCTCTAATTCAAGGCATGATTTAAACCCTTCATAAAAGTCTTTCTTGTTAGTTTTAAAGTATTTAACATCTAGCAAAGCATATTTATCTCTTTCATCTTCATAGTGTTCTTTTACCTTTCTCATTTCTTTTATTAAGTCTATTCGTTCTTTTATTTCTGCGTGTATCTTCATTACTACATTAAGTCATCATCTCTTTAATTCTCCAGTGATGATGACTATGTCATCATATTATTCTATTTTCAGTAGAATAATGACCATATGCTAAACTATCACCTGTATTTGTCCAGTACCTTTTATTTTCATAACTATTCAAACTAATCTTTGCTGTTCTAATACTATAAATTTTATGGTTTTTACTTCTAATACTATTGAATGATTTATGTATAACTTCATTAGTTTGTAAAACCTTATCATATTCTTTATATGTCATGAAACGCTTCACTGTGTTTTTGCCGCGCCCTTGCATTTCTTATGTTCTTTTTCTTCTCCATAGATTTGAAAAGCGTAACACTTAGGACGAAGTCCAATAAACCCTGTAATAATTTTGCTACTGCATTCATCCTTAATTTTACCCAACGTCTTTTTATTAGTAGTATCATAGCATTTATGATAAATAGGATAATCTGAAAAATCCATTTCATCTTTAATATCGTGAAGATCTTTATAAATGTCATCAGTCTTAGTATGAAATACAAAACTATCAGTGTCAGTATAAACCACTAATATTATCTCCGTATTTAGGTTTCATAACATCATAATACAACTTATACATATGTTGCTTACTCAAATCTAAAATACTCATTCCAATGAATATAGGTTTATCTAATTTCAATTGTGCTTTTTGTTTCTCAACTCCTACTAAATTATCGCTGATAATATGACTATGTTTAAATGGTGGATTATTAACACATTTCATAAATCTTGTTTCATCACTCACTATTTCAAAATCTAAGTGTTTCCTTTTGTCTTCCATCGATTTTCCGAACACGGCATTATTCATTAATTTGTAAACATCTTTCTCAAAATCATTGTTGGCATTCTTTCTTTTCTCAGTGTTAAATTCAATGTAAGGTTTTAATATCTCTTTCTGACTGAATTTTATTGCTCTGTGTATTTTCTTTAGTTTCAATCCGTGTTTTAAATAAAACTGTAAAGTTCTAATATGGACTACATACTTTTCTTTGTCTTTTAAATTCAATATTAATATATTTGTTTTTTCATCTTTAGGTTTTTTCTTATACAGTATTTCATAAATTTCAACTTGTTTATCTGATAACATATCTGCTTTAACATTCATAATTTCAGGTGCCATTGGATAGTCACTGTGTAAATCGTGTAGTTCTTTAGGGTATTCTAAATCAACTTCTAAGATGTATCCAGTATTACCATTAGCATAGTTTAAAATATCATCTTCTGTTATTTTAGTATCCCACTTTAAATTTTTGTATGGCAGTTTTTGTATCATTGCTAATCCATATAAGTTATTAGCATCAAAATAGTTAATATAACTACTTTCTTTGCTTTCATCAAAATCATCGCCCATATAAATATTATTTGCCTCTACTTTCTTACAGGCAGTCTGTGTCATCCCACCACGAAGTCCGGTCTCTATCATTTCATACATATCTTGGTCATAAACTAAATCTATTTCAACACCAGTTAATTTTAACATAGCATCAAAAGCAAAATCAGGCAGTGTGTAATAATATACTGGATCTAAACCGTAATCTTGAATACACACACCTCGAAAATTTTCAAAAATATCAGTTAATAATAAAACATCTGTTTTCAAATACAAATCGTGATATTCACCCATGTTTTTAATCTTAAAGTGTTTCCATATTACTTTTGCTTTTTCATAGTCTTCATCCGTTATATTATCCTCACTTAATCTACTGTAAAACATATCTTTAGTTGGTAGACTTTCATCTTCAAACTTTTCTATTGAATTCATATAGTCATACGGATAAACTCCCTTCTCTGTTAATAAATCCAAACATTTTTCACTTTTAATATCATTATTTTTTACTAAATCTAAAATTGTTCTGCCAGTTGTCTTTTATTATCCATTTTCTTTTATCTTTATCATCTGTGTTATCATATTTTGTCAATGGTACTAATTTATCTAAAGAAGCAGTTATAAAACTAAAACTGTCCTTAACACCTAGACAATCAAAACCGATATTAATAAACTTTTCACTGTTCTGTGCTATTACATCTATTTTCTTCTGATTACTTAACTTATCAGCATTTTGAATAATTAAATGTCCATCATAATTTTTCATATTATGAAAAAACACTGGTATTTTAAAATATTTATGACAAAAGTTTAAATTACAAATGCTATGAGCACAACCCCTATATTTACCTGTGAAATGGCAATGGTCACGAACCTTCTTATATTTCTCTGCTTCCTTTTCATTCTTATAATCATATCTAAACGCGTCACCACAAATAAAACAATGAGTTGCATTTTTAAAGTCTTTCTTATTTTCATCACTCATATCAATTTCTTTATTTTCTTTCATTTTGTCTTTAATGTCTTCTCTTATCTCATTAATTTTACTACAAAAAACATTAACGGCATCACTTCCTCGATATAAATATTCATAATTAGAACCATCAACTGAATTAACCATATTCAACATACAACCATAGGGTAAGTTTTAATACTTTCATCTGTTGGTTTATCAACTTCCTCAGTTAAACATTCAAAGTC